GAGGAGGGGGGTGAACGTGCAGGGTGATGTCTGGGCTGCAGAGACACCCACAGTGGGGGGATGCATTGGGGGGGATGGAAACAGAGAGCAGGGGGGGATGCAGGGGGATGCACACGTTGCCGGGGGGGAGGATGGGGGTTGGATGCACATGCTGGAGAAATGCACACGCAAGTGGGATGCAGACGTGAGGGAGGTGCACGCGGCAGAGCGATGCATATTTGAAGAGGATGCCCACGCGAGTGGGATGCAGATGCCAGAAGGATGAGCACACACACACACAAACAGGGCGGGGGGGGGGTGCAGACACACAGGGATGCAGTTGGCAGCCAGGGGAAGGGGCTGCTTTTGGTGCTCCTGATCACAAATAGGAGGCAGAAATTTATGAGCAGCCCTTGTCACCACCCCTCGCCCCAGGACTGGTGAAGGGACCAACTGGAGGAGGGTGGGTGCAGCTGGGCTGCCTGTGCAGGGGTCCCTGGGTACGAGGTGGCTTGTGCCAACCTGCCCTCCCCTGCCAGGCCCCTCAGCGTGGGACACAGCAGTGGACAAGCCTCATTCTGGGTTGGTGGCCGGATGAGTGGGAGGATAGAGGGACTTTGGGCAGCAGGACCCTGCTGGCCAGTGCCTGGGGAGCTGGCAGCCAGGGGAAGCTGCTCTGGAGAAGGGGTCCGTTCAGATCCCTCTGAACAGGACTGTAGCAGGTGTTGTGACAACCTGGCTGGGATGGGGGTTTGTCTGGCTCTGGTGGGTGTGGAAGGGCAGCAGCACAGACCATGGCACTTCGGAGCTGTGTGTGCCATGGTACCCTGCAGAGGCTGAGGCAGGCACAGCCCTCACTGTGAGCCCTGTCCTGGGCTCCCCAGGCTTCATCATGAGGGGCTGTGGTCTCTCCAGCAGTTCCTGGGCATCTTTGCCCATCTTGGATGAGGAGACCTTGCCTCCAGGGTGCTCCAGGCTGGAGTGCCTGTCGCTGTCTTCTGTCTGCCCTAACCCTGCCAACCCAGGGACTGTGGCTGTGCCATCCCAGGAGGGCAGGGACTCAGCTCCCTTCCTTGCCTGGCTGGAGTCCAGGGGTACGTGGCCCCAGGCCCCCTGACCACTGCCTCTCCAGCAGGTTCATCGCGGTCCCAGAGCATGGCCGGGTCCCCGTATGGTCCCCAGCCCCCCGCCGAGCCCCAGCTGAAGAAGATGGAGCCACCATCAGAGGGGAAGGTGAGCAGGGAACACTGGGGGGTGCCCTCTGGGGGAATGCGGTGCTGGGCGGGGGCACAGCCATGTAATGGGGGCCACCCCAACTAGACCGGCAGCCAGGGGAGCCTCAGCAGCCCTGTGGCATGGCCACCAAGGCTGGCAGGGCTCTGGGTGCCAGCAGATAGATGATTGTGGGGACAGCCCCGGGGACACTGGCAGGGGAGGTGGGTCCCTGTCCCCCGGGCTGCCCTGAGCCACACTGTCCCTCTCCCCAGAGCTCGGAGGCTGTGTATCAGTGGCTCTACAAGTTCCAGCTGCAGCTCTATGCGCCCAACTTTATCAATGCTGGCTACGACATCACCACCATTAGCCGGATGACGCCAGAGGTGAGGCCATGGGGGCACTGGGGCTGGCAGGGAATGGGGCTTGGCTGGGGCTGACCCTCCCTCTCTACCCCCGGACCTCACAGGCATTGGGGGCCCCAAGCCCGGGCCCAAAAAAAAGAGCACACCACCCCAACCACCCCGGGGTGGTGGCAAGAGTACAAGCCGGTGAGGGCTGAACAGGGCCAGGGATGCCACAGCCAGGGTGGCACTGGGGCCCCAGCCGTGCTGGGAGCCTGGCAACTGGTCCCCTCTGTCCTGTCCCCTCCAGGGAGGGGGTGGCACAGAGGAGAAAGGGTAGGAGTTGGCATCCTGCTGTCCTGAAGCTGCACATGTCCCCTTCATACATCTCAAGGACCGTCAGGCTGGTGTCAGCTGCCACCACATGGCTGTAATACCATGTGTCCCCGACATCCCTCCTGTCCCATTAGCTGGGCACGACAAGGGGCTTCCCATGGAAGTGGGGCTGAGCATGGCCCCAGGAGCACAGGGACATCATGGGGACAAGAGAAAACACCCAGGGCTGTCCCTGAGCAAGATGGGGTCACCTGGGTGGCACAGGTGCTGTGGTGCTGGGGGTTTGCTGGGGCCAGACCCTGCTGCCCGCTGGCACTGAGCTGTGCCCTCTGCCTCCTTCCCAGGCCAACCTGGCGCTGTGGCTCTCTATGATCGGCCTGTCCCAGTACTACAAGGTGCTGGTGGAGAACGGCTACGAGAACATCGACTTCATCACTGACATCACCTGGGAGGACCTACAGGAGATCGGCATCACCAAACTAGGTAAGATCCCATGCTGCAGTGCTGGCTGTGGCAGCCCCAGCCCTTGGTGGTGGCACTGATGCCCTGTGGTGTCCCCAGGCCACCAGAAGAAGCTGATGCTGGCAGTGAAGAAGCTGGCAGAGCTGCAGCGCGCTGAGCTGGGCAAATACGAGCCAGGGACACTGAAGAGGAAGGCAGCAGCAGCAGCGTGCCCAGAGGTCCTGGCCATTGAGTCTCCCCCACCAGAGCCACCCGAGTGCCAGTCGCCCAAGATGACCACCTTCCAGGACAGCGAGCTCAGCAGCGAGTTGCAGGTGGCCATGACAGGCGAAGGTCCTGAGGAACCCCCCGAGAAGGCCACGAACACAGCA